ATGCCATGTCTGCAACCCAACAGGAAGAGGAGTAAGCCAGGCGTTGACATCACCTGACAGATGTGTTTCTCGAGTGGGAAATTTTATTCAAGCCTTTTTCATGGAAATCATTGACACAGAAAGGAATAAAGAAAAGAGAGGGAGAAAGAAAGTCGGTGCCATGATGGGCATGTTTTGCACCCCATAAAAAAGGAATTAAAATGATGCAAGCTCACCTCCCTCTCTCTACACCGCCCCCCCCCCATCCTTTATGTCTGGAAGTAAATGTTTCTGAAATACTATAGCTACCAGCAGAGCAGCAACACATAATAACATGGTCGCGACACATAAACCTGTCAGTCTTCGGGGAAAATAGATGGTTAGGTTGAGGGGGTAAATGGACTAAATCAATTTGAACGCGCATGTTAAGGACTGTGACAGGGCAGAGTTTAGTGCGGCTAGGCTGGAAAACATTTGTCTCTGTCTTCTTGTATTTCCACAGCACTGGGCAGAATCCACCCACAGGCTTCTCACTTGGCTCCAGTCTGCCTCTGTGGCTGATGAATGGCAGCTGGAGGTGTCCAGTAATTTCCTCACCTAATAATAAGCTACAAACCAAAATGGAGGTTCCCCTCGGGCCCACAGTTAACATACCTATACTTATGACCAGGAGGTAGCCAATTACCCTGCCTCTGTGCCCACTACTTAGGAAATACATGCTCGAGCAAGGCTGAGGCCATGCTGTTTACCTGGACCCAGCTTCTGCCGATAACCAGACAGACTGTTCTTGTTACATGATAAATACATAGTCCGTTCATTTGGAGAGGGATACGGTTAGGAAAATCTTCTAGCAGTTCCACAAGATACATTTTTAAATAATTCACTTTTTTTTTCCCCAAAAAAATGTGGCAGAAAAAAATTCAGGTGATGCACTTGGTCTTAAGCCTTTTGGGAACTTAAATTTTAAATCGCCATTACCAAAATGCCAGGTTGTAATTGCAAAGCCTAAGCCTAAGCAATCAGTCTAATTCCTTGCTTCCTGAGGCAACCAATAAAGCTGTTTGTGTTCGGGCAGCTCTTCTCCTCAGAGGCAATGAGAATCAGTCTGTGCCCCGTACTATAAAGTGATTATGTGGATTAACTTTGTGATATTAATTAAGTGGTTAGCCTCAACATTTGTACTTATAGTAACACAATTAATTTAAGCTAAGAAATAATACATATTATATACCAAGATGAAAACATAGAAGTGTGTGTGCGCGCGCACGTGTGTGTGTGTGTGTATGTATCTGTGTGTGTATCTACACAAGCACAAGTGTGTGTGCGCGCGCACGTGTGTGTGTGTGTATGTATCTGTGTGTGTATCTACACAACCGGGGGGGGAGCAGAAGTATGGGGTAATGGAGACACTACACAGACCTAGATTCAGATTTCATTTCTGCTGCTTAACTGCATAAACTTATGAAATTATTTTAACTCTTCTGAGCTTCTGTTTCCTCACCTAGAAAATGAGAATAATAATATTTATCAGGAATAAAGTATGTGAAGTGTCTAATTCAACATAAAGCACATAGTAGCAATCTATAATTAGTTTCACATGTTAGAGGTGAAATCTAAAATTTTTTTACTAGTGGTAAATACACATAACATAAAATTCACCACCTTAACCATTTTTAAGTGTATAGTTAGGTGGCATTAAGCACATTCACATCATCATGCTTTCCTCTCCACCATGGATCCCAGAACTCTTTTCATCTTGCAAAACTGAAACTCTGTATCCATTAAACAGTAACTCCTCATTCCCGGGTCTGCTGTTCCTGGGAGCCAACATTCTACTTTCTATTGCAAGGTATTTGACTACTTTAAGTACCTCATGTAAGTGGACTCATATAGTATTTTCCCTTTTGTGATTGGCTTATTTCAGTCAACATAATGTCCTCAAGGTTCATCCTTGTTAGCACGTGTCAGGCTTTTCTTCCTTTTCAAGGCTGAGCGATATCCCATTGAATGGATATACCAGATTTGGGTTATCTATCCATCTGTCAGGAAACTGACAGAGAAGACAGGTAGATTATATATGGATGGATGAGAAGACTGGAGGAGAAAATTATAAAGGAATCATGAAAAGGTCAGACAAGCAGAAATAGTAGCAGAATGAACTAAAGATACCAGATCAAAAATTTAAAGTTTTAGAATATATGTGTTAGACCTTCATCCCGAGGTCCTAAGACTGGCATAGCCAGGCAAAGGAAGGGCAGATAAGGGACATCTTCAAACTGGTGACAGAATGTGTCACAGAGTCTCATATTTCGTTCTGGGTTCAAACTTAGAACAAGAATTTCCCTAATGAATCAATGGCATGTGATAGCAAGCACCAGCTAATCTTATTATTTTATATGACTTAACATGTGTCATCATCCATAGTGGCAGTGGTAGGATTTTTTCCAAACTAAACTCAGTTAACTAGATGTAATCCTTTGTAGATGTCATGGAAGAGGAGAACGTATGTATGACATTTTTAATATAAAACTCCTGGGTGGCTGGGTGGCTCAGTGGGTTAAGTGTCTGCCTTCGGCTCAGATCATGATCCCAGGGTCCTGGGATCAAGTCCCACATGGGGTTCCCTGATCAGTGGGGAGTCTGCTCCTCCCTCTCCCTCTGCCCTTCCCCTGGCTTGTGCTCTCTCTCACTCACTCTCTCTCTCTCAAATAAATAAATAAAATCTTAAAAAAAAAAAAGAAAAAGAAGAAGAATCTTAAGCCTTCTTAACAAGTCCCTAAGTTTCCAAGAATAGAAGAGACCTTTGGATAATTGGACCTTACTCTGAGCTGGGCCATGCAATGGTACCTCTGCACTGGGGATGACTTGAATGTACTCTTGAGTAAAACACAAGAACTGGTTGGGAGATTTCAATGTATACTGGGATTCAAGTGCCTGCCAATGCAGCTTTGTAATGAGGTCTTAGCTTTCCCTGTAACTCCCATTCCCTGACTGGCCTCATTGGATGATCTTGCCCATGGTCAGTTGCTCTCTACCCACATCATTACTCATGCCTCCCTCACCCTTCTCAAATTGAATTCTTGCACCTAATTTGAATTTTATAGGCAAACTATTGCTCCTTTTTTCTATTCACATCCCACTTCTCTCTTTTTTATCTTTATAAACCAACATATTATTTTTAAAGGTATAAGTCCAATACCCCCCCCACACACACACACGACCATCTTTATCAGAAAACCTGAAAGAATTTTTTTTTTTCCATTTGGCTGTTTTTAGTGTGAAGTGGAAATTTTATATTGCTGTCAAAGAAATAGGATTAGGAAGCAGCCCCAGTGAAAGAGTGAAAATCCTTAATAGATCTGTGTTAAAAAGAAAAAGATAGAAAAGGAAAAGGTGCATGAATACATAGGCATGACTAAGCTAGGTTGCCTTCCTGAGTAACAGTAATACCAGAAGGGTGTGTGTGCCATAAAATGGGGCCTGCTTTTATGCCCTTCATGGATCAACGGGATATACTTTGTCCTCTGTTCTATTTGGCCTAAAAACGTGCTGTTTATTCAAGCAAAGGAAAAATAGAATGAAACCTACAGAGAAAGATAGCCTCAGAAAATAAAGGCCTACTAAAATGATAGGATTCGGGAAACACATGCAAACCCCTAAACTTCACTGATAGTCAAGTCTGGAAACAACACCCTTGTGAAAACTGGAAAGAAAGTTTGATGACTTGAGCCACTAAAGGGGAGTAAGTTGGATCTTGGTATACAGATCCTCAAAGTGGTGAACCTTGTATAGAGATATCCAGTGGGAATGTTTTCTGTTATCTCTCTGATTATTACCTGGTGATGTTACCATGGCCACAAATGACCGGCTGGCTTCTTCCTCCCCAATTTTCCTCTCATCACGATCTCCAACTACATACAACAGAGCCCTGCCTTTATCAAGGTCTAAGACACGTCTGTCCCATTTTTGTCAGCTCATTTGCATCAACTGCTGCTGGGTTGAGATTTAGTGTTGTATCTGCATAGTCAGTGATTTAAGGACTGTTTGCTGATTACTTAGTACGTACCAGATAATGAGCTAAGTGCTATGGTGAGTAACATAAATAAACACTTCTAAAATAATAATAAAGGAAAAAGAATAGAACTTAGAGACATTATACAAATTGAACGACATTGATCACAACCAGAAGCAGAGGTAAATGTCCTTTCAGAGTATGCAGATCAAAAAGTCCGAGGGGGTTTCCTTGCCATTGACTAAGAGCATAGAGGTAAAGAAAGAATAGGAGTGATCCAGATTGTGAAGGGAAAGGAGATGTGCCCATGGTGGGACTTTAGTGTGAGAAGGTGGCATTTTGCCAGAAAAGAATAATACGCACAATACCTCATGGCTGAAGGAAGCATGGACATTGAAATAAAGCCAGTGTGGTTGAAGGCCAGGGAGCAATCAAGGAAGTGACTATGTAAGAATTTGAGGCGAGGAAGATGTGTAGCAGGAAGGCAACTCAGAATTGTGTGGAACATGTTAAGGATTTCCCCTGAGCCAGATGGGAAGCCTCTGAAATGTCAGGTAGGGTATTAGGATATATGAAGAACCTGCACAGATGGGGTCACCATGAGCCAGAGTGATGGACAACTGGGATGGTGTGCAACCCTAAAGAAGTTTGCAAAGTGGGTTAGAGATTAAACGAAGGTCCAGAAAAATGACAACTTTAAATAAGAAGACCTGAGTTCAAATCCTATCCTTCCACTTGCTAGCACTTTTTCTTTTTTAAATTTTAGAGACAGAGACAGAGACAGAGTGTGAGTGGGGCCAAGGAGCAGAGAGAGAGGAGGGGGAGGGACAAACAGACTCTGTGCTGAGTGTGAAGCCTGACTCGGGGCTCCATCTCAGGACCCTGAGATAACAACCTGAGCTGAAGTCAAGAGTCGGACAATTAACCAACTGAGCCACCCAGGTGCCCCTTAGCACTTTGACCTTGGGAGAATTCATGCACTTCTCTTAGTTTCAACTTACTCACTTACTCTTAATGAAGTTGTGAGTCACAAATGAGGTCGTCTATCTGATAGCAGTTTACGGACTCCAGTGTTGTAAACGTGTAAGTAACAATGACTGCTGTAAACATTAGAAAAATAGTCGTTATGGCAGTAATATTAAAAACATATATTAGACAGTTTTTGCTGTGATAACACATCCCCCCCCCCCCCCCACACACACACACATCTCAGAGCTAACAATGACAAGCAGCTCTTTCTCACTCACCTTACAGGTGAAGTATTGGCCGGCTGTGGCTCTGTTGCAGAGGGTGGATCGATGGGGTCTGCCTCATTTGTCTTCTCAATCCAGAAGCCAGATTGAAGGAGCAGAGCCCTACTTGTACATGCTTTTCTCACGGTAAGGACCAAAGTGAAAGAACTTCTCAGAGTTGGCATCTTAAACAAGTCACGTGGCCAAGCCTCAAATCAATGGGACAAAAATGCATTATCGTCTTGGGGGTAAGAAGTAAATGAATAAGCAGGAGCAATAGAACAATCTGCCATAAATATTTGTGTGTATGTGTGTTCAAAACTTTCTAAATCTAAGGAGAAAAAAGAGTAGACGTTGTATATTGCAACCATTCTGGTAAAGGCAGATAGTGATGTGGCAAAGACAGATCATCTATGTTAGCTTTTGTGGGGCTTACCACAAAAACTTTTTTAAAGTAAAATATATTTTAACTATTGCATGCATTCCTAAACTGTTTTGTAAACTAAATAATAGGGGAGATTATTTAAATAAATAATTTTATGCCCTATTATAAAGCAAATAAACTTTGAAAATGAAAATAACCATCCCTTATTTATCATTTTAGTAAGTTGAATACAAATCCAAAAGATACATACAGTGTGCTTTGAAAAAAATGCAAGCAAAACCAGGTAGAATGTCATCAGGCCTGCCAACTGCTAGGAAACTTGGTGCCACCAGGGCCACTGGTGTGGCTGCACCAGCTGTTCACTGAGCAAGGGTACCCATCAAGGGGAAAGTAGGAGACAAAATCAGATCCATCCTTTGCTCACCAAGCCATCTTCCCTGGTGCAAGGCCATGTCTCGTCAGAGAAAAGGGCAACATTTTTCACCTTGCACAAATGTGTCATTCAGCCCTAGATGAGGTTTCCTAGAGTAATCATCACAATCCTGGGTCTAGCTCATCGTGTCATGTGTAGTGATCATGCCACCGTCAAAAGTTATCTGAACTACAGATTAAACCCCAGACCAATATAATTCCAGAAACTGTATACTCTACTCTCCTTACTGTCGTAACATACGGTAAAAAAAATAAAACTACAAAAAGACTATAGACTCATGTCTTTGCAGTTTTTCTTTTTTAATTAACAAGTGCATCGAAGTCAAATTATAATCTGAAAGATAATAAAGTTAGTTATATGATGTTAATGTTAGTGGGAACAAGTATCTCTTTCCGTAAGTATGGTATTCCCTGAGTGGAAGCATCCCCCTCACGCTCACACTCTTTCTGGTCGATACTGCCGACTTACAACTCCCCTGTGTCCACCAATCCCGCATGATGGACATATCCTCCCTCCAGATAAATTAACATCTCAGCATCTTTCCCTAAGTCATAGAGCAACTAAATGTTTAACTAGCAAACAGGAATCACTGCATTTTGAAGTTCTTGATACAATCCATCACAGATGGAGGGTTTCTTCCCTGGGTCAACTGGGATGATTTTTAGTATCTGAGATTTACTGTAGGCTTTTACTTTTCACATTTATAAGATTTCCTGCATATATGAATTCTCTGGTATCTGTGGATACCTAATGTCTAGGAATTTTATACATTGAATATTTACAGCTGTTGTACGCATGGGGTATTTCTAATGACATCCTGTGCATTACAATTACAAAGTCTCCAGGACCCAGAGGTTTCTGTTTCTTAGTATCTCTCACATAGCTATTTCAAAGGAAATTGCTCAGACACCAGAGCTTCTTTGTACCTTTGTTTCCCTTGGAAAATTCTGTGTACATATTATTCTTCCCTCAAGATTGAGATTCATTTGAGATTTTTTTAAGGGATCTGACTCCTTGTTAACGCCATGATGGACTTTTTCCTTAGAGAACTGTCTGAATGCCTACCACTCCTAGGGACCGTGTACTGGTAAATTTTGTTATTTTAAGTCTTAGACCCTTCCCCTCAAAGTCATACAGGATCTTCTACATCTAGAAGTGTACAAGGTGTTTTCCTATCCCTGATGGTATTTCAAGTCCTGATGGTCTAGATCTCTGGGATGGTCTTCATACATGGTCCCAGATACCTGAGACACATGAACATTCTTCATCTTCCAGAGATGAGATTACCTTCTTATAGTCTCTCCCATAACAGTTTTGTAGTGCTTCTTATTAGAAGTATTTCACTTTCTCTGCTCTTCTCCATTCCCCGACAATGTGGTGTGCTAAGCTTTGAGAATTCATATACCGTTAAGATGGAGAATATCCTAAAATAAGAGAAAATCTAAGACACAGAATGATTGAAGAAAAAGAAATCCTTTTGGATTACTCTTCCACAACTATGGGATCTGATACAGTAGCCACTTTTAGGATTCCTTCCATGTCTTTTTGCAGAAGATTTAATTCCTTAACAGAATCTGTTTAATACATGGATATGCTGTAGTCCTGATAATTAACATCTTCCTCTCTCTTCCTTGGGAAGATACCACTTAAGATATCATTAAGATATTATGAATTAGTGACACATCTATATAATGGGCCTCTTTGGAATAAATTTTCCTTCATAGATGAACAATTCAAAGAGGTAATAAGCTACTCTATTCACTAAAGTTAGACATACATATATATGACACCTATTAAGCTTTAAAATAAGCAATATATATATATATTTAAAATATTGTATTTATTTGCCAGAGAGACTGAGCGCACGGGGAACGGCAGGCAGAGGGAGAAGCAGGTTCCCTGCTCAGCAAGGAGCCTGATGCGGGGCTCGATCCCAGGACCCTGGGATCATGACCTGAGCCGAAGGCAGTCGCTTAACCAACTGAGCCACCCAGGCATCCCCGCAATAACTATATTTTTAAAGCAAAAGAGAACAAGAGAAAGAAGAAAGCAAAACTGGAGGACAAAAAAAGAAAAGGAAGAGAGGCAAATGAAATATACAACTGTACTCACAAAATATTTTTCTCCTTTCCTTAATCACGTGGTATCGAGCCATTCCTTCCCCACGCCTCCTCCTGCTTTTCTTATAAGCTTCCTGGTTATTAAAAGTGACTCCTTAGACCAGCAAAATTATGCTCAGTGGCCCACCTCTGGTACATGGCAAATACCTGATTTAGTGCTATTATATTTATTCCAAAAAGCTCAAAGCAGTTTCAAATTTACCTAAAAGCTATTTCCTAGACCTATAGATGAAAAACATATTTGAGCAACACCGGTTAGTTTTTTAAAATAAGTTGGCCCTTAGTGCTCATTTTTAATAATTTTCACTACAAGAGCCATAAAACTAGCAAATTTAGAACAATCCCACTCAATAAAAGAAAGTTGAATTTAGTACCCCACTGGTACCATCTGAACAACAACAATTTTTAAATTAATAAGTAAATTCCCAAACCACATGTGACTGGGTGCAGTCACTCATTACAAGAGATCCAATTTACCTTTCAAAACTTGGGGAGCCACGTGACTTTACCAGGATGTATTGGAAAGGAGTATTGCAAAAATTTCACTGATTCTTCCTCTAGTCCTTTAAAATTCAGGAGCAAGTTGATTTTCCAGACATTCGTGCAAATGTATATTCCATCTTTTCAATGAAATCCTGATCCTTTTCCCTGATATTAATCACTGCAAACCACCTTTGACAGACACAAAATGTCCATCTCAGGATATTACAGAGGGGCAATTGACTACACCGCAGGTCAAGGTGCTCAAAAGCAGTGGTAATCACACTAGCAAGCTCACAACACCTCTTAGTTGGACTTTTAGGACGAGAGAGCCCCTTTCGGGGAAGACCGTCTCCCTTCCAAAGATTGTTACATGTAAAACTGTTTGAAGGTAAAATTTGGTCTGATTAAACCACAGTGTTGTGTCTGCTGGAGTGTAACCTACCACACTTGGTGACCTTTAAACACAAACACAAGAATGACTTATAAAATCTCCTGCTTTCTTTTGCAACTTAGGCAAATAGGAATTTTTCAAAATATGAATTCATACAGCAAACCCAGCAGCAAAAGTTATTACACTATGTTTAAAAGAAAAAATCATGGATAGAGCTCAATGTACATAACACATGGTCCGACCCCTGGCTAGTTCTTTGATTCCAGCCCACCCCCACCCCCACACACTTCCCATCATCCCATCAGCCACACAGAACCTGCCTCACTTGTAGCCTCAGCAACACTCCAAAATCTCTTTTGTCCTGAAATTCCTGTAAACTGACTTCTCCACCTTAAATCTCACCCCACCCCCCACTTTCAAACTGTATTCCCATATTTCCTTCTTTGACTAATTTCTCCTTGTCCTTCCAAAATATACATAGGCTCCCAAACTGCCAAGAATAGATGTGGCATTAAAACACACACCTTTTTAGCCTCTTTGATGGCACGCTCATATCCTGGTTTATATCACAGGATTTGGCTTAGCCCAGATCTTTATTTGGGTAAATTAACAAATAAATGGGCCTGCCTGCTGGCAAAGAAATTCATTAAACTCCCAAGACCCCTCCTAGGACATTTCATTTCATACTAAATATTCCACACTGAGTATCATATTGACATTCTAGTACTCAAAGTTATTGCACTTTTACCATCTAGATTATGTTTCATTTCCAAATAAGTCTCTAATTTCATGGCTTGTGGCATATTTGATTTGTTGCTTAAGCAAACAGTAATGAAAGTCATCATCTCCCGATCTCATGAAATCGATAAAAGGACGTTAATCGAAATTCTTAGAGAAACTAAACAAAAAACCATGTATAAAAAAATCCTCATATTTTTGTCTTCAATAAGTAGACCCACTTAAGAAAGTATTGATAAATGACCAGTAATATAAAAAATAAAAATATGAGTCATTTTTATTCAGCTTTCCCCTAACAATGATCATTATCAAATTGCAATTTCAATGATACTGTTGCTCTTTTATGTTAGATTCGCTAACAGCAATCATCATCGTATTTTTTTTGTTAAAAAGATATTCCCCTAGTTTAAAAACCATACTTGGGAGTAGAACCTAGGAAACTAACTGCGCATCAAATAGTGTATCTTAAAGGTAAGAGAGGCGAGTATCGCTTGTGTCCCACCCAGAGAGAACGACATGCTCCTTTCTTTAAAAACTTGCAACTTACTGAAATGATGAGCCTAGTTTCATGAAGTTGAACCTTTTAAATGAACTTTCTTCACCTTTAAAGTTTTTACACCCCTGAGCGTGTTCTAATTCCTGAACACTGTTCCTCTGTT